TTTTCATAGTCCTAGATCATTTCTCTAAATTTGTATTTCTAAAACCTGTAAAGAAGTTAATGCTAGTGTTGTTATTAAGTACCTCGAAGGCGAGCTCTTCATGACTTTCGGTGTCCTAGAAACTGTCGTATCAGACAACGGATCCCAGTTCCGTTCTGAAGCGTTTTAGAAACTGATGAAGACGTATGAGATTTCACACATGCTGACGGCTGTTCATCCGCCTCAAGCTAACGCCTCTGAGCGAGTCAATCGTTCTGTTATTTCAGCGATTCGAGCTTACCTTCGTCCAGATCAGAAAGATTGGGATGAGTATTTGAATGGGATATGTTGTGCCTTGAGATCATCGATCAATGCCAGTATCGGTACAACGTCGTACTATTAGGCTTTCGGCCAGCATATGGTAACTTCCGGTTCTACTTATTCCTTGCTAAGGAGACTGAAAATGCTAGATGGTCGATCCTTGATGTTTAATAGGCAAGATTCATTTGAAATAATCCGAGAGGAAGCGACTAAGCAAATGCAGAAGGCTCACGATCGTAACGAAAAGCGTTATAATTTGCGCTCGAGAGATGTTTCCTACGCTGAAGGGCAAGAGGTATTTCGACGCAATTTTAAGCAAAGTTGCTTTCAGACCGGCTATAACGCCAAGTTCGGTCCGAAGAAAATTTGGAAGATCTTATTACGAACTAGAGGACTTGCAAGGTCGACTCTTGGGTAACTATCTCGCGAAAGATATTCGCCAGTGATGCGACTCTAGGCGGTAATCTGTCTAGGGTATCTGGAGCCAAATACCCTAGCCTGATTCTAGCGGGGGGGTTTTTGTAACGGCGCCTGTAGCGACTGGCGAACCTAGGTTCAGCCTGAAAGCCTACTATACAGGGTCCGCTTAAACCAAAGCTTGACCTAGTGTGGCCACCTGTGTCGGCTATTCGATATTTCGATAGTTTTGAACAGCTGAGCCAGGGTGGTCTTGGAAAGTTCTAGTTTTGACACCTGTCGGTCGTCATATGATATATATTTCCGCCAAGAGCCTCGCTGGTATCCAGCCGATTCCGGTTAAGTTCTTCTTATTTTAACCTGCGAGAGAAACGGACGTGCCAGCAGCTGAAAATTTTAATTTCAATAAAAGACTAAAAGTCCGAAATATATATTTTTTGAGTGGCATCCAGTATTTTTGAGTGGCATCCAGTATTCTAAGTGGTGTTTAGCACTCAGTGTGGCTGCCAGCTATAAAAGCTAGCCAGCGAATAAAGCTTAAAGTAAGTGCAAGTGCATTTGTTTAGAAATTGGGGAGTATTTAACCTCCAAAAAATTTTACTACAGATATTTTTTAAAAATTCCGGGTGGAAAACTCAGCCAATTTACTGGAGGATTTACCACCTCAAGAAGGCCAAAATCAAATCTCGGGGCCCAATCGTCAGGTATGGTTTTTTTTTGAGACACGCATGTCGCCATATCTGTAATTAATTTAAATTCCCAATCGTCAGGTTGGCCCGCGAGGAATGATTTGGAGAGATAAGTGCCCTGAAGTACCCCTATCTACTATCTACCTATCTACGGGTCATGTAGTGCCGGCCAAGAAGTGCAGTTTTTCTTAGAGCGGACCCGATGGCAATTTAATTCCATTATATAAGCTGTCCCGATGCCCATCATACCGCGCATCCGTACTTCAGCCGAGTTTTAAGGGGTGCGCGTATCCGTCTGGGAGGTTCCCGAGTGGAATATCGCTGCCGCAGATTTAGGGACTTATACCCGTTTATTTTGTAAAAGCGCCGCGTGTGTGAACGGCCTTAACCTAGCATGGCACACTAGCCAACCGGGTTTAACCTTAATGGAGATAAAACTCGCTTTCGTATTGGATCAGTCCTAATCCTATTATATGACCAACGCGCTTTGAAAAACCGAATTTAAGAATTAATGTGAAAAGAAATCAATGAAATCAAAGATATGTAAGCCATAAAGCAAACAATAACTGTTCGTAAAGCCTCAAGTGGCAACGCCATGTAAAGCGATAGTTATATTAACAAATTGAAAGAAAATAAACAGTCACTGGGGTTAAAAGACATAATGCACGCCGAGAAGCTGTGATTTAATTTAAGAAGAGCTAGATTTTTTTTTAGGTTTAAATGAGAAATTTGTTGTTGTAAAGTATTCAAGGAAGTACGATGAATTAGGTACGGGTTACAAGTTTAGTTTAAATCGTTCGCGCGTCTAAGAGAAATGAGAGAAATGTTTATTTGCCCTTTAAATTCTATATGGCGAGAAATATCGCTACCATTAACATTACAGCCAACCCATCCCGTCCGGAGATCGATCTTCAACGTTGGAGGAAATGCCGTGAGTCACACTAACTAATCACATATATATATTACTTTATTCACATTTCTCGCCGATCCGTAAAGTGAACGAAACTTATTTAAACATAAGCCCCGATCTAAAAACAATTAATTAATTAAAATACCTTGAGTTATTTGCATTCTCTATGAATTAATTTGCGATTTTCGAAAGAAGTTGAATATAAATTAAGATCGTCTATTGTTAAATCCTAAAGTCTCTAATTGCCTAAAAACATGAATTGATAAAATTAAGAGAAAGTCCCTTGAAGAAGTCTTTTTAAACTAAAAATGATACAGAGTACCTAGAACTATCGAAAACTATTTCTTTAAGATAAAATTTATATTTAGTAAAATACATTGTTATATCATGAATATTATCTTTTTTTTCAAATACCCTATGTTCTTTTATAAATATCAAATATGACTTGTACCACTATCCACGGAAAATTAATTACCTTTTCGAACAGAAATAAAACCATGGATCTATAAATAACATTGAACTGAACTAAGCTGATGATTTCTCGATCGTAGGGTATCAAAGGGGTCACCGAAGCCATGCTTTAAGGTGGTGACCATAGGTTGGGAGGGCCATACGCGACCACAATACCATCCGTGGATTCGCATAGCTAACTTTCTCCAAAACTTTTCTGTCCCTATAATACTTATTCCTGAATTTATTTATCGTTCTCTTCCGGTTTCAGTTTACTATCCTCTCTTGTCGCTAGCACGCTTATTTCTGATCTTAGTGATAATAATGTGTAGTCAGTACGCGAATCTGTAGGCGCAAGACCTCCACCCCAAAGCCGACGAGCGAGTGCCGGACCCTAATAGCGTGCACCGCAACTGCAGATTCCCGATTTCATGCAACCGTTACACGCTACAGGAGCAATATGTATTGAATTTTCAACTTTAAGATGCCAGCATCCTATCAGATATCCCTTATTTGCATATATCGTATAAAATATATCGTATCAGATATCCCTTATTTGCATATTTTATACGATATATGCAAATAAGGGATATCTGATAGGATGCTGCCTGTTAGGAGTTCTAATAGTCTAGTTTTTTGGCTTATTCTCGGCATTTTGGTAAACACGGCCTGGCAATTTAACCATCTGACAAACAGCTGGCATCTTAAAGTTGAAAATTCAACAGGGATCTTTTAGGGTCGTTCCCTTAATTGCTGAAATTTTCTGTTGAGTTTTCAACAATTCAATCCAATTCCTCCATATTTACAAGTGACCAGGGTTACCCTCTTACTTTTAGTCGAGAACAGCGACAACTCTGATTTTCAGCAATTCAACAAAATTTTCAACACCATGGAGGCTGTTGATTTGCGGAAATTTTTGAAAGTTGACTTAGTATGGAACAGCTGATTAACAGCTGACCAAAATTCAACAATTCAGCAATTCAACAGTTTAGGGAATACCCAGAATGTTAACTGAAATGTATTAGTCTCGTCAATACTTATCGATTGGCTCCAAAAAAAAGTTTGCCACGCCCACTCTAACGCCCATAACGCATAAATCTGTCTACCGCCCACATACCATATATTAAGATCGCGGGTAGGTGGCGCATTTCAATCTCGCTTAACTGCTTGCATATCTCCATTTTCCTTTGGTCCCTTTAGCTGAGTAACGGGTATCTGATAGTCGAGGTACTCGACTATAGCGTTCTTCCCTGCTTTTAAGATTAGAGAATATACAGATATATAATAGTCTGAGAAAATAGCAGTTATTTTTGAACACGGAAAAGCGATTGATAAATGAATTTAGATATATGGCTATTAAATTTAAAGTTTCGTATCACATATTTGAATTGAATACAAAAACGTATCTTTTGATAATAAGCATATTAACTGCATAATTTAATTTGCAAGTATTTGAATCAAATCAGAAAATATTTGATGCGAAGCTTTTCATATTTACTTTAAATTTTTTCTGTCAATATATGAATTTTTAAAATAATTAAATTAACTATGATTATTATATTTAATATTTTCCTATTTAAAGTTAATGAAAACTGCAATGGATTAAAAATAAAGTGAAGGATATTAAAACTGAATAATTTTCGCATTGGTTTTTAATCCATTGCTGTTGTTTATTAACTTAAATTACTTTAATTTAGTACTTTAGAAAGGACGGGACAAGTTAAAGTTTTGTATTTCCCTTTTATTCCCTTGCAACTGGCGTGGTGCACTATGAATTCCTTCCACCCGGCCAAACTTTAAGTAACGAATTTTATTTGAGCGTTGTGCGTCGTATGCGTGAAGCAATTCATGTAAAAATGGCAGAATTATTAGCAACAACAAATCTTTTTTTTTGCACCACGATATTGAACCGGTTCACATTTCGTTCTTCGTGACCATTTCGCCAAAAATTCGACGCATATCGTTTTGCAACCACCGTGTTTTCCTGTCAATTGTGGAGATAAAATCTCAATCGAAGAAGGCGCTGATGGCTACGCCGAAAAGGAATGTTTTTACATTTTTTTAGCATTGTTGTTAAATAACATAAATTGTTGTCATAACTGTGTTTCATCGGGAGGTGACTACTATAAGAGGAATTAAATTGATATACAAAAAATAAAGATTTTTAATTTTACAAGCAAATTCACCTTACTTTTTGCCCACAGTAGTATAATTAACGAATAATTCAATTATTGTAATTTTTTTCATATTTAATTATGTAGGAAGGTAATCGTATTAATAAATGGCTCAGGCACTTTCTACTTGCTCCTAATCCTTTTTACAGTGATAGCAGCTGCAGGACACTGCACTTCTAAATGTAACGTTTCGAATTCCTTCAATGCATAACACGCGGCGTTGTATCTAAAATGGTTGCTATTAGTTTTGAAGATGTTTATTTCATCGCAAAGGCAAACCAACCTCCTCTGACTTCATCATATTGCAGCATTGGCCAACACTCACAACTGGCTTGGGTGGCTTGAATAAAGCAGCCGTCGATGCTCCTGTCCAGGAAACGGAGGGTACCGAGTAGGATTCGCAGAATCCACGGCACGCGTTGGTCGTTATGATAAACTCCACGCAATCCGGGATGGACATTTTTCGCGTATTTCCAACTTTATGGCAACCAGGACGTAGCCAGGCGTCGTTGCTCACCGAGATACTCCCCCCGATCATAAGCCAGAAGGAGCAGCAGAGGAGCACCAGTAATTCAACCGACCTCATCTTGGCAACTGTTGAAATAGGCTATGTGCCCTAATGGCTTTAAAGCCAAAAAATTATCCTGGCGCCTGCGCAGGAGCAATATGTATTAATATGAAGTCTGCTAAAAAAGAATTTTTTGTAATTTTAATGGCAATAAAAAAATGACCATAAAAACTAACGAGGGTGGTCCGATAAAAACTTAGCCTCCAAAAGAAGAACGAAAATTTTGGAAAAGTGGCGATATATTTCTCAACATAATCCCCCTTTAGCTCGATACACTTGACCCAGCGATGCTCCAACTTTTTTAACCCGTCTGAAAAATACGTTTTCTCGAGGTCTGCAAAATAGGCCTCTGTGGCAGCGACGACCTCCTCATTCGACGCAAATTTCTTTCCAGCGAGTGACTTTTTCAAGTATGGAAACAAAAAAAGTCACTCGGAGCCAAATCTGGAGAATATGGTGGATGAGCATTGCATTTGCTATTACCTTGTCACTGCAAGGATTCGTAGATTGCTGTGCCAGTATGTACCATGTGGCGCTGTGACAAGGCGGACGGAGGAAATGTCGAAAAGACGTGAAATATAATCGAAGAAATTTAAACACTGATTGTCGAGTACCCGATTTAAGGCGGCAAGTGCCTTTGGGTAATTGGTCTCAGTCATTTTGTATGCTTTCACGGTCCCCAGCGCTTCATTCTCCAAGCACGAAAACAGGTGATTAAATTTCTTGACGTCGCTAAGAGTTGGATCGCTATCTATAAGACTGGTGAATAAACCAATAAAGTTCTTAAACTCTGAGAAGCATCCAGAGAACTTGGGCAAATTCATTCGAGGTACATTTTTGTTGTGCGAGCTTGTTGTATTAAGGGTTGAGTAAAGTAATTGTGGTCTTCGATTTTGTACAGTAGCTGACATATAAAGAGATTTTGTGGCTACACACTTATGCTCAAGATCAGCTCGCGAGGACAATACCGGATTAATTAACACAATTTCCTCTTGGAGGTTAAATGCACGATCTATGTAATTGTTTAAAATGTCTAATCTGCACTATAATTCGCTGCCTCGAATTGTTACGATTTGTTGTTGCATAAAATATCCCCCTTAACACTTTCAAGTCGCGAGTGAAATGTGTTGGCACGATCATTGCCATAATTGACATCAGTTACACTTGAACTTTGTTGACGACTTAAACGTCGTCTCGGAGCCACATTGCAATTTTACGCTAAATGCCAATATAAGTGAATATTTGCAACCCGCTGACTTAATTGAAAGCAATTCTCATGTAGAAAGCACAGTCACCTAGTGTTGCGATATGTTCTATTAGTTGAAATTATTTTTACCTTTTGATTTAAATATTTTTAATTTGAATACATTTTATAACTGTACTCTAATGGAATGCGAACTTAATTGCAAGTGTGAGCCGTTACTCTCAGGCAGAGAGACAAACTGAAATCCAACTCGAATTCACGAAACTCGGGCTAAGCACGGATCGGTGAACTGTACTTATGCGATGTATGTACTTGTATATGTCCACGTTGGTATGTACATATGAAGAGAGAAAGAACGGCTCAAAGCAACCAAAGAACCAACTGTATATGTGTGACACGTGTTCGCCTCAAAACTTACGCCTGGTTGCTTGCAATTTGTTACTTAGCGATTAGTGAAATCCAGAGGCGTGTCCAGCAGTATAAGCCCAAACTAAGATTTCACGGTGAATTTACGTATAGCCGATTTTCTGCTATATATAAACTCGCAGCTGCAACGCAGCGAGTGACAAGAACGAGTATTTAACAGAGCGATAATGAGCGATAACCACTTTAGGCGGTAAAATTCAAATCTTTTCCATGAACAAGCTCGTAAGGAACATAGGTAGAGATCTTGCAGCTCGGACACGTTCGGGGTTATTTTATTTGCTCGCAGCTTGCTATGCCCCGTCTCATAGCTAAGTAGCCCAAGTTGCAAGTTCTACGTGTTTCCCTCACATACCACTCTTATCAACAAGTTACGACTAAACAGGGGTAACGAGAACTTGTCTTTGATGGCAGAACGATCGCGTCACTGCAATAATAACGATGGTTACTGGAAACTATGGATCTCGGAAACTATCAGAGATAGAGAACTGGAATTTCAGATTTTGATTCCGTAGCCTTGAGCAGCGCATGTTTGTTAAGCGAATATGCCACGCCCACTCTAACGCCCACAAGCACACAAAATCTGTGGCGCCCACAATTTGCTAGAAAAAAAATTTTAGCTGCAATGTATTAGTCTCGTCAATAACTATCGATTGAAACGATTTGCCACGCCCACTCTAACGCACAGAACGCTTAAATCTGTCTACCGCCCACATAACCATACATTGAGGTCAGGGGAAGGTGTCAGTCGCGCTTTGCTGCTTGCATATCTCAATTTCCCTTGTGTCCCTTTAGCTGAGTAACAGGTATCTGATAGTTCTTCCTTGTTTTTAAATTGATAAATGCGTATTTAAGCACTATACTATATTACTTTAGTGTAATAAATAGTGATATGAAATATATTCTTAAGTAGGTTCGGGAACTTTGGTTATGGTAGCAGTTTGCGTAGTTGGCTCGGCTGATACTGCAAAGTGTGCTGTCGGTGAGACAGTGAGACTATGAGGAAGTGAGACATAATATGCTGATCAGCAATTCTCATCTGCAGTGGGTGTTACTCAGCGCCTGGTACTGTTGCCATCTTGGCTACTGCTTGATTTGTTTGGTGCTGGTCATGTTAAGCACCCTTGAGTACGAACAGTTCTATTATCGAAAATGTATTATACGATCTACTAAATAAATACATTTTCTAAATAAAAATGGGTGTAAAACTTTTAGCTATTTATAGCGAGTTTTTTCAAAAGTTTTAGAACTTAAGTTTCCTATTCTATGAAATTAATCATTTGGCACGTCAGTGGGATGTGGACCTTCTGCAACAAAGCTTAGATAAATTTAGGTTGGTTAAATTTAGAAATGTTGTAAGAAAGTAAGAATTCGTGTAGTTGTTAAGTTTATGAAAAGTCGGTTCTATATTAATTAATTTTTCTCTTACAGTATGTAATTCAGTCAGCTGCAAGGAACCAATTTACCTAGCGATTAATTCTCTTTTGGACGAGTCAGTGTCGCTAGTTATACCCGTTACTCGTAGAGTAAAAGGGTATACTAGATTCGTCGGAGAGTATGTAACAGGCAGAAGGAAGCGTTTCCGACCCCATAAAGTATATATATTCTTGATCAGGATCACTAGCCGAGTCGATCTAGCCATGTCCGTCTGTCCGTCTGTCCGTCTGTCTGTTCGGATGAACGCTGAGATCTCGGAAACTATGAGAGCTAGGCTATTGAGATTTGGCGTACAGATTCCTGAGCTTCTTACGCAGCGCAAGTTTGTTTCAGTAGACTGCCACGCCCACTCTAACGCCCACAAACCGCCCAAAACTGTAACTCCTACAGTTTTGATGCAAGATAGAAAATTTTAACTGAAATGTATTGTTCTCAACAATACCTATCGATTGACCTAAAAAAAAATTTGCCACGCCCACTAAAACGCCCACAAACCGCGAAAACCTGTGACGCCCACAATTTGCATGCTAGATAAGAAATTTTAACTGAAATGTATTGGTGTCGTCAATACCTATCGATTGATCCAAAAATAAATTTTCCACGCCCACTCTAACGCCCATAACGCTTAAATCTGTCTACCGCCGGTAGGTGGCGCATTTTAATCTCGCTTTGCTGCTTGCATATCTCCACTTCCCTTTGAGTAACGGGTATCTGATAGTCGAGGTACTCGACTATAGCGTTCTTCCTTGTTTTTGAATGGCTACATAGATCTTCAGGCTCTATTACTTTATGATGTATCAATGCTAAGTTCGATACATGAATCCCTTCTTCATCGAAAGAAATCTCATTCTGCCGTTTGCTATCTTCTACATCAAATTGTTTATTATTCACCGGATTTTCATCTTTCGTTGGCTCATAAGCAGAGTTCGGTCCTCAAAGATCGTCTACGACTTCTTCCAAAATATTGTTGATTTCCGTATCAGATGAGGTTACTTTATTGAAAAAACCTGTGACTACATAGCCAAGACTTGTGGCTTGCGTCAGCGGCTTGTTAGGTCCCAGTCTAAGAAGTTCACCGGTCATAAAACAAGGATATACACCAGCCACTAAGTTTAGGTCAATGGGTTCAGGTTGCCGAAAGTCGGGATCTGCTAACGGCAGTCCTTCGGGAATATTAAGATAATTTTCAATCGGTAATGAAGGTTGTTTGGTAATGACTGTGGGAATAAAAAATATCTCTACTAGTTTTTCAAAACCTGATGTACAAGCCGAGAGTTTTAGTATTGATCTTATTGCTGCTGTTATTTTTCCTCCGATTCCAGATATTTTAGTCGGTGACGATATTTCAGTGAGTTATGCCGTCGCGGGCAGATTCGACAATTTACAGTTTTCAACCTTATAAGTTGTAGACATACAATTTGTGCATGGTTCTACATGAATAATAGCTTGGCATCGCGTTTTGGGGCCCATTTCCTGAAAACGGTTACACGCTATAAGTTGATGTCGTCCTAAGTGACAAATCTTACAGCTGTCTTCGATGTGAATTTACTGATCGCGGAACGTTGCTGTAGGTTGTGCGCTTATCATCTCTAGCATGCAAGCCCGCCGCTCAATAAACGTTAGTACACTTCTTAACGTTGAACTTCCGTTGATGCATCCGCTGAATATTCCAGTGCTGCTAGAGCCTGATGGTCTAGTTTTCTTCTGATAATATAAAACAGGATTGGATCCCAGGATATTGTGCTGATATCGAGGTTTTTAAGGTTACTTAAAGTCCTTCGCACTGTGTCATGTTGTGCTCGAAGCTGTCTTGGAGACCCGTTAATTTGCATATAAGCGACGATTTCTCCTATTGTAGCAAATACTAATATTCTGCCGTTTTGGCTTTTAGTCGTTGCCAGGTGTCGATGTAGGGCTAGGTTGATTGAGAGATGATTCTAATTCGTTGCACCGTTTTTTTAGTTGACGGATAACCATGTCAC